TTTTAACTTGAATTTGGCCTCAAAACACGTTTGGTCCATTCAAATGCCTAGCAATCTTTTCAGTTACAATGGCTACTACTTTCAACTCCAGTGAAATATGTTACAAATGGCACCATTTCCAAAGTTCTGAAAATTTCTAGAAATGGCATAAAAATAAATATATTAGAGAATATCCTTTTATTCAGGATACTTTGATTCAAGGTGTTTCTAGTACTTCCTTTCCTTCTCTACTCAGCTTAATTTCTACAGAATTGTCCTATTATTCAATCCATTTTTTTGATATTTCAAAACACATGAATTCAGCATAGAAAATGATTATTATAAAGAGCATAAATGAAAGTTTAATAAAAGGAGCAGACACATCGTAACAGACTTTATAGTGTTTATTCTAGAATGGCTTAATTGAAAGTTCTCTTATCAGCCTAATAATAGTGTATTATAACGACCTTCATTTAACAAAGACAGGGACACTATCTTTCTTAATGGAAAGATGAGAAGCATGGGTCAAGTGTCTTAACCAGATGTTACGTAAATGAAATACGTGTGCAATGTAATGATCTTGGAAACCTCAAGGTTCAAAGAAGACAACAGCTATAAATCCTATTAGCCTTTTTATTTAGTTATTTTTCAGAACTGGATTGCTATTTATGTTCATTTTTATAGTTCTTCAACCTGATTTTTGTATATGATATAACATATCATATACATGATATAACAAGCATTTTCATAGTCTTAAAATTATGAAAATTCAAGTTATGTTGAATTCATCCATGGTATAGATATATTCTGAATTATATACACATCAAAATTCAAGTTTTCTTTGTTTTGTTATTACAAATCCTATAGTGAATGCTCTTAAAAACAAATATACATATACATTTCTCTAAGCTAACTCTTAGAAAAAAATGTAAAGATACAGAAACACTGATGCATCACCTACAGAAGATGTTTAACAAAGTACACTCTATCGAGTTTAGTGAATGAGATAATGGTTTTACTGCATCCTTGCCAAACTACTTTTAAACATCATTACAATATATGATAATCAAACAAACAAGTTAATTTGCATTTCTCTGTGAGACAGTATTTTTCATGCTTATTGGTTATTTGGATTCCATTTCAAGAGAAGAGGGTGTTCCTGTCTTTTGCCCATTTTCCCACTGAGATTTAATTTTAGTGTTACTCTTATCGATCTACGTGACTTCATCAAAATATCACTTCCTTGCCATGCTTATTGTAGTTTACTGACACTTCTTTCAATTTTGTTTCTGACTTATGGCATTCAGATAAAAAAAAAAAGCTGCATCAAGGCTGTTCATTTTTCCTTTCATTGTTTTTTGCTCATTGCTTTTTTCTTTTACCTTCAATTGCTGATGTAAAGGAATATATAATTTTATTTACCATTTTCTCTAATACTTTATTATATTACCTTTTAAATTCATTATTAACAACTTTTGGTATATAAGAAGTAAAAATTCAACTTTGATGTTTTACCTGATAAGTCAACCACGTTTATACAAAAACCAGACTCATTTTCCCAATTTATGAATATTTCTTTATTCTGCACTAACCTCCACAATACAAAAGGTTCTGCTTTTACTAATCAGCCAACCAATGATCTGTGACTTAAATTGTAAATTTAGCAATACCAGGTTTGCCAATCTATTTATTATTCTTTAAAACATATCAAGTTATTTTAGAATCTTGGTATTCCTCTTAAATTTTCATTAGTTTGTGCTATAATTTCTAAGTATCTTCACTATAAATACTTTTTTCAAATATTTGAAAATGCACTAAAGACTGAGAAAATAACAAACAGAAAACCATGAAGTGCCCCTTATCGCAAGGATTTGCAGTTTGGAGCATACACTTTCAGGATCTCTATCAGGAAGGATAGGAAATTTTAGGTAATTTTCATTTTTTGTTACTACTCTTCCTTGGCAAGGAAAAAAATTGTTTCACCATGATCGCAACATGGGAAAAAACATACCTTGACTCAGATCAATGGGATTGCAATTTATTTTTAAAATACCAAAAATACACACATAATCTTAACTTGTCTCAGGTTTGAATGTTTAATCTTTGCATATGTGTAAAAAGCAAACTACCTAATGAGCTAGATGCAGGTATACCCATTAACACTGTTGCTCCAATCTACTAACTTGTGGTTTCTTTAACCTATGACATAATCTACTTAGTAAAACATCAGTAACACAGCCCTGGTAGCATGCCAGTCACATGAAAGTCATTTCTCTTGTTTTCTTTCTTTCCTGAAGATAAAGTATTTTACTTACTCCAAGTGCATTACAAACTGCAGTGCCATTTAATTCCAAAGTTCATTTCTGTATTTATTTATTCAACAGTATCTTGGTGATAAGAGATGCTCAATAAACATTTGTTGAGTGGAGGAGGATAAATGAAACATATTAGATCACTGTACAAAATGGCACATTATAAATAACTACATTGGAATTCTTAGAAGTGGCTGAAGCAGGAACAAATGTAAGCCTTTTATTCACAGCAAAGCCTGGGAGATGAATCGCTGACACATGCAATGTGATTTATTCATACACACTACTAGGAGATTTATAGGCATCTATTAACCTACTCGAGTTCCAGTCCTGTCTTAGGCTGGTCTTTTGTCATGATTAGCTATGTTGTGACTCTATGTTAAATAACAGGTTGTCTGTGCTGAAATATTCACGAAATATGACGACAGAGGCCAAAATTATTACACATTTCCAGCCAAACCACAGATATACCTCTGCTTATCTATGTTTAAAAAAATTAGACATGTACACATATGCAAAGGATTTTTTTTTTTCTGGACCTGAGATCCACTGTCACAGATTGGACTGTGTCTCCCAAATAACTCATATGCTGAAATGCTAACCTTTAGGACCTCAAAATGTGACCATATTTGAAGAGTCTACAGATGCATTCAAGTTAAAATAGAGCCATTAGCGTAGACCTTAATCCAATAGGACTGGTGTCCTTTATGAAAAAGCAGATTTGGATAAAACTTGTACAGAGGAAAGAACATGAAAAGGCACACAGAAAAGTTCGTCATCTACAAGCTGAGGGGAGAGGCCTGGAAGAGATCCTTCCCTTGTGGCCTAAGGAAACAACTCTCGATACCCTGATCTTAGACTTCGAGGCTCCAGAAACTGTGTTAAAATATATTTCTGTTGTTTACATCACCCAATCTGCAGTACTAGGCTACAATTGCCCTAGCAAACTAATATATCCATGAACTTAACAGTGAATATAGCAAGGATGTATCAATAGGAATTCTTGTTTTGTTTTTGACATTCTCACTATTGGAAAAGATAAAACAGACCTGCCTGCACATAGTGGCGAGGCCTGATCTGAAGCTTCCCTGGGGTAAAACACCATCGAAAAACACCATCACTGCCTTAGGTGAGACTTCTGATTCATCCCTTCAATAAATTATAAATACAAACTTATTTGATGGCACTACCTGTTACACATGACACCACTGGATTGGCAAAGGCAACAGTAACACATGGTTGGATATCTATAAGAGTATGGAGGCACTTTGTGATTTGAAATGATAGCTCATTCTTGGCTTTTCTTTTGAGGTCTTCAAGTCACCCATGTCTTTTCTACCTGTATCTGCACTGATCTAATAAATACAGCAAGAGAAGAGAAATGTGGAAAGGACCCTCTTCCACTGCCTTTGATCCCTAACTCAGGTTTACAGAGAACATAAATGGGTTGCAAGTTTTGTAACTGAAGTCAGTGTAATGGTACCCACGTCACATGAAAGCCACCACGTGAAGGGTGAAGAAAGGCCATGGGCTACATGGTTGCTCTTACAGAGATCAGCCACTATCATTGATCAGTTCTTCCAAACCTGTGTCACTGGCCACTATAGCACCTCATACCCCCGTCCTCTTGAACCAAAGCTCGCTTGTGGAGCCAGGCAGGATTTGCTGACACATTCTAAGTTCAAAACCATAAGACACATTTCTCTGTGCCATCTTAATAAAACAACATGGAATAAAGTTTTATAATAGCAATAGCAAGAGAAGAAAGTCATAATTTTCCATGCTTCACGATTCAGAATAATTAATTTAATAACTGTGTCATATGAGAAGAGTAAATAAAGAGAAGGAAAGCGGTGTGGATATATGTAATCACTGAAGCATATACAATTGCAAAGAAAAACAAATTACCAGGGTAGTGCTGAAAATAAAAGCTCCGTGGGAAGTATTTTTTGGATGTTAATTTGATTCTTCTATGGAGCCTTAAAGCTGCAATGTCTACAAGACCAACTATTTATCTCCGCTTGTTTTTATTTTTAGCAGTTATGTCTCTAAAAATCTTATGTCTCTAAAAACCAATTATACACCTTTTTGATCTCCACTGGGAATTTTCCCTGAGTAGTTCTCTACCTGGACTATAACAGGACTATGATTTCATTTACAGCATCTTGCTGGAGAATATTTCATCATCAGAGGTGTTAAAAAAGGGGGAGGGGGATTGAAATTAGTCAACAGGGGCAGAATCAGAATAAGATGTGGTTTTCTCTGGACAGAGTTACAGCCTCTGGAGTTTGGTTCACAATAAACATTGAGGCTCTAATCTTAGATGAGCAGTTTGCTTTGTCATGCCACAATCTGTAGGTCAGCAGGAAGAGACTCTTTCTGAGTATGAGCATATGTGCCTAAATCCCACACCAAAAATATAGATTTCTAAAGCGAATAAAAAATTATTTCTATTAAATTGTTACATATGAAAGAAAATCTTCCTTTACTTGAGCAGGTAAAATTCAAGTCGTGTCTGTTTAAATTCAGTTTTACCTTCCTCAAATACTAATGATACCAGCCTTGTTCTTCCCCTATTAAGACTGTTGATTCTGCCATTCCAGCACCAGACTACGTGTATCACATTGTGTTTCTCGAGCTCAGCACTGATTTCCGTCTCCAGGCCTCTCTGAAGACCCACCCTGAGTGTCAGTCGCCGCAGGGACTTACCGACAGTGTTTATGGGATCCTGTCAAGGTTTCAATCACAAAGCACTCGCCATCATTGAGACAGTAGGCAAGGTCCTTGTCTCGGCAGGGTTTGAAGTGCTCGGATCTCTCCGTGGAATATGTTGTTGTGTCTGTCATGAGGAACACAATGAAATTCTGTCAGCAGCTCATTCTGACACCCCAGATCCTGTCACTGGCCTGGATCTATGCACTGAGACCTTCTCGTGACCGCTGACCTTAGGAACTAGACAGACAGGATGAACCTCTCAGTGGACTGATAAAAACACAACTGAGTATGACCATTTAATACACTGAATGTTTATGCCCCCACAAAATTCATATATTGAAACCCAGTGATGGTATTAGGAGGTGGGGCCTTTGGGAGGTGAGTAGGTCTTGAATGGGATTAATGCTCTTATAAGAGAGACCTCAGACAGCTCCTTCACCCATTCCAGTCATATGAAGACACAGCAAGAAAACAGCCCTCTATGAACTAGGAAGTCCTAACCAGACATGGAATCCACAGGCATCTTGACCTTAGACTTACCAGCATTCATAACTACGAGAAATAAATTTCTGTTGTTTTTACACCACTGTGTCCATGGTATTCTGTTATAGCAGGTAGGACTAAGACAATTATTGGATTCAATTGTCTTATTTTTCCACAAGATTTTAACAATTGGAATCACTCTAGACAAGTCCCATCAGTGGATACATTAACAGCAAAAGTTGAATGACCCTAGAATCAAAAACCTCAAATTAGCTTTCATTAATTTCAATGTTAAGAAACATGTTGTATTAAAGGATTGAATACAATCCTTTTAGTGTATTCCTTTTATTGTTCTGCAATATTATTAAACATCTGATCAACGCACATGTACTGTGACTCTTCTGTGGATCCAATGTCAGTTTCTGTGTTCTGTTTATTTTTTAGTTATAGCTGTAATTTGCTAATATCTAAGGCAATTATTCTTTCACTTTCTCCTTTTATTATGTACTTAAAATGCAAATGTTCCAAATTCTGAAATAGAATCTCAAATGTAAAGAATGTTTCTGGTAAATATTTAACAGGACTAAAATTACTGCCAATTTTTTAGCATTATCTTATATGTGCTTTTTAAAATCATAATCATAAAATCATAAAAACATTTTTATAGTAAGTTATATCTCTATATCAGGTTCCTAAATATGAAACTAATTATATATATACATATATATGTGTATATATATATATATATCAGGTTCCTAAATATGAAACTAATAAGTATGTGCTTTCTACTGGATGAAGAAATCTGTTAAAGCATGGAGACATTCTTGTCTCAGAGTTTTAAGCAACTGAAATATTAGCACCAATTTCATTACTACATTCAAGAAAAAAAAGTATGTAAAAAATCAAAGATGAATACATTATTCAGCATGTAAGCTCTTAATTTCCTTTATATGTGTGTGCTTAGTCGCTAAGTCATGTCTGGTTCTTTGCTACTCCATGGACTGTAACCTGCCAGGCTCTTCTGTCTATGGGACTTTCCAGGCAAGAATATGGGAATGAGTTGCCATTTCCCTCTGCAGGGGATCTTCCTGACCCAGGGATCGAATCTGCACCTCCTGCATTGGCAAGAAGATTCTTTACCACTGAGGCACATGGGAAGCCTTCCTTTACATAAATATAGATTAATAATAATGTTCAACAGCAAGGGCCATTGCACCAGCTTGCTAACTGGAGGTCACAATGAGCCTCTTTCTGCCTATCATCCAAATAAAGGGGAGAGTTATTACGCAGGAAGAAAATTTACTCAGATTCTCCCAACACCTAAAAAGCCTCAATGAGCCCCTTTCACAGGAATAACTCCAAATTCCTAAGAAGAGCAAAGAAGCACATAGGCCATGTAGAATTTTGCCTGCCCAACCTCATCTTGCATCCTAAAACATAACAACCTCATTTCCAACTCTTATCCTATTTCCCCAGTACCAGAACTATAACACTGATCCTTTTTCCTGGGCCATCTTTTTGTTTGCTGGAAAACATTCAGAAACCCTTCAGAAATTATGTCATCTTCCCTTTGCATCCCTCAGCACCTTTTATTGTTTGCATCACTATATTCAATGCTGAAAGTAGCCACTTGTTTACACATTTATCTGTTTCTTTGTCCTGAGTTCCTTGAGGTCAGAGGTTGAGCCTTAATCAGAATTGGTGCTCAGTAAAAAATGTCTTCAATAAATCTGACAACTTTAATATCACTAAAGTTTAAATGCCACTGGCAAAAGACATGATCATAAAAGAAATCATTATCATATAAAAAGTAATACCTATCTTACAATAAAAAGTTAGACATAATTTAACATTCATTTTACCATTCTAGTATACTCATTTTAATACTGATAAATATTGCAAAAAAAATGCCTTCAGATTCACACAGACCCCCACTCACTATTCATATACCTTGAGCATTGAAAAATCCACTTCTAATCTTTTCTTAGTGTTACAATGGAAACTTTTTCTACTTCAAAATATCTGCCTGTTAACATACTTCAGCTTGCAAAAGGCTCTGCAAAAGACTTTTTTGGTTTGTTTTCCAGGAGATCGCCTCTAACAGGGAAGATTTGTTATTCCAGACAGTTCGGTACAGTTACACAGAATCAATTTCTCTTTCTATGGGAATATTTAAGATTCAAGAGCTCTGAGCCAAAAATTCATTATTAACCAGCATACAGTTGACTGCTACTCTGCTGAAGTATATTAATTCATGATCAATTAGTTAAGTTTTCCTTTAATTTCTTATTATCTATTTATTGATATTCACTGATCATTCCTCTAAGAACAGCTTTTCATTAACATAACCTACAGCATAAAAAGTGAGATCCTTATTTTACAATCAGTGGTTCTAACAAGCTACAGACTCCACGAGCAATACAATGGCAAAGCAATTACAATCAATTAGTTTCCATCTGACAACTACTGTCTCCAGTGGTTACCGCCCAATTCTGCCAACCGTTTTTCCCATTACGTTACCATCCATCTGTGCAACACACAGGATCAGAACCAAGTAAAATACCTCTGCAAAAGTCTGAGGTGGGAGAGGACAGAAATGTCAGGTATAACGTGCCCTCACATTTTCTATTTTCATAGCTTAGAGAATCTGAAGTTTGAGCAAGCTCCAGGAGATGGTGAAGGGCAGAAAAGCCTGGCATGCTGCAATCCATGGAGTCACAAAGAATTGGACACAACTGAGTGACCAAACAACAACATACGCTTATTCCTCACCCTGACTTGACTAGATTCTAAAAAAACATAAAGTATTTTAAATAATTTGATACACAATAGAACACTAGGCTTGATCCTTCTATAGATAAATGAAATGCAGGTGTCAATATTTGAAATCATAAAAATTTACCTGTGCATTTCACTATATAGTATCCATATAGCACTAGTCACCTAAAATCACAGAGGTGTTGGGAAAGGTAAATCAAATTCACCATAAAGTGAAACTTTATACTTGTAAGGCATCATACCAAATATGTGGGTAGAAAGATAGAAAATTTCCTTAATGATATCACTGACTTCTATGCTTTCTCTTAAGATCACCTACATACTTTTGTACACTAGATCATATGTATACTGTGTCTAAATCACTGTTAGGCTTTCTATTACTTATGAACAAACATAGTCCAACAAAGAGACAGTAGCAATTTGGATGATACCCTCTGAAATTTATAGCTATGCTTAAAAGTATATACATATATGTAAGCTCAGTCAGTTGTGTCTGAATCTTTGCAACCCCATGGACTATAGCCCCCCAGACTCTTCTGTCCATGGAATTTTCCAGGCAATCATATTGGAGTGGGTTGCCATTTCCTTCTCTAGGGGATCTGCCCAACCCAGGGATCAAACTCCCAAATCCTGCATCTCCTGCATTGGCAAGCGGATCCTTTACCACTTTGCCACCTCCATATATGTAGCACATACATATGGAAGCCCATCCATATAAGTTTACATTTGTTTTTGACATATTAAGTACATCACAAACATAAAACAGATAACTGCAGTATATGGTACTATTTTGTCATGTTTTAAAAGTTCAAAAGTGCATCTTCTCTTTCTAGGAATGATATCTGGTAAATAAAATTGTTACAGAGTTCTCTTTGTATTCAAAAAATTACAAAGGTAAAGGTCCAAGCAAGTAAACTAGAAGAGATCAAATAGTCCCATAAATTTGGATTTGTCTTCCAAGATGCTCCCTTACTCCAAAGTACCTCCAAGACTCTCCCTTACTCCAAAGTACTTCCTTATCAGGCACCTCTCTCTCACTTTAGCTCATGACCTCCACATCTTACTGGATCAGGAGCTTGCACAGCAGATGTGAAGATCACATCTCTGATCCACAGCCCTACAAATGGCCTGGGGATCCCCTTGTGGCTTAGCTGGTAAAGAATTCACCTGCAGTGTGGGAGACCTGGGTTCGATCCTGGGTTGGGAAGATCCCCTGGAGAAGGGAAAGGCTACCCACTCCAGTATTCGGGCCTGGAGAATTCCATGGACTGTATAGTCCATAGGGTTGCAGACAGTCAAGATACGACTGAGCGACTTTCACTTCACTTCACAGATGGCCTGACACAGGTGCACACAATAGTTGTTTATAGAAGAATGATCTTTTCATAACATGAGTGTTTTTCTAAATGTTCTATATAGTCAAGTGTACACACTTTGTTATCATCATAAAAGAAAAATCCTAAATGAATAAATGTTTAAAAGTTACGAGATGAGAAGAGTTCCAAAAGCAATTTAGGTAAAGTGCTTAGAATTTCATAAGAACAGAAAATCAACTGACTGGAGACAAAGAGAGGAGGAAAATATAAGTAGGAAAAAAATTCTGAAAGAGAGAGCATGAAGGGGAGTCCCTTGAACTGCAAGGAGATCAAACCAGTCAATCCTAAAGGAAATCAACCCTGAATATTCACTGGAAGAACTGATGCTAAGCTGAAACTCCAATACTTTGGCCACCTGAAGCAAAGAACTAACTCATTTGAAAAGACCCTGATGCTAGGAAAGACTGAAGGCAGGAGAAGGGGACAACAGAGAACAAGATGGTTGGATGGCATCACTGACTCAATGGGCATGAGTTTGAGCAAGCTC